GGAACCGTCATGGCCGCCCTCCGTGGAGGGTTCGAGAGCGGGAGCTAGAGACTAATGCAGACCAAGGCACCGGAAAGGAGGAGGGGAGGAGGGGGGAGAGAGGAGAGGAGGGAACTGGGAGACGAGAGAGAGGGAGTCGCATATTCAGCCGCAGCCTTTTTCATGGTTCCGCAAGAAGTCAGAGGAGGCGGCGCGCGCCGCAGAGGACAGAAGAGTGTGCCGGGCGACGCACGCTGACAGAGGAAGAGTTTTTGCGGAAGCCCGGCAGTACACGGCCGGCGTGACTTGCCGGAAGGCCGCCGCCAGGTAAAGCCGCTGAGCCAACAAGGCCGAGACAACCGACAAAAAGAAAAGGAAGGGACGGCCCGGCACGCAGCCAGGGCCGCCGCCGGAACCAGGCAGTAGACGGCCGGCTTGCCGCCGAAAGGCCGTCGCCAGGTTAAGGAGAAAGCACCGAAGGAGAAGGAGTGTACGAGAAGAGTACCGCACCCGCCCACCCCAACACGCGGGCACGAGCCCCGACCACCGCCACCACACAACACCACCATGCAGCAGGCCCGGCGCGCCGCCAGTTTTGCCCAGCAACAACCGAGAAGGAAAGGGACGGCCCGGCACGTAGCCGGGCCGCCGCCGGAACCAGGCAGTAGACGGCCGGCTTGCCGCCGAAAGGCCGCCGCCAGGTGCGACAGGAGTACTGCACCCCCCTAACACACGGGCACCAGCCCCGACCACCGCCGGAAAGAGTTTTGGCGGAAGCCCGGCAGTATATTGACGGCCGGCGTGACTTGCCGGAAGGCCGCCGCCAGGTAAAGCCGCTGAGCCAAGAAGGCCAAGCAACTAACCGACCAAGAAGAGAGAGCAGTAGGACGGGCCGGCAAGGGGCCAGAGCCGCTGCCCACACAAGGCGGACAGGAGGTTTCAAGCAGACAGGGAAACGGCCGTGCTGCAGCCAGAGAGCCGCCGCTAGAGCGCGAAAACCAAGGTAACGGGAATCGGCAATAGGGTAGCCCGGTAGAAGACATCCGGCACGCCGGAAGGCCGCCGCCAGGTTAGGGAGAGATAGCAAGGAAATCGACGCGGCTAACGCCAAGGAAGAAAGTGTTTGCGAGATTAGGCCAGAAGGCGGCTGGCACGTAGCCAGGACCACCGCCCACCCAGGCGGCCGGCATGAAGGGCCGGAAAGCTGCTAGGAGATTAGTCAAGAAGCCTACTGCCAGGTAAGGAGATTGCCAAGAACAAGCGACAAACCGGCCGAGGAAAGAGCGAACAAGTATAGGCAGAAGGCGGCAGGCACGTAGCCAGAGCCGCCACCCGCCCGGGCCGGGCAGAAGGGCGGCAGGCGTGAGGCCGGGAAAGTGCCAGTGAGCGCTCCGGGAGAGGGAGGGGAGTGGCCCAGCAAGAGCCAAGTGCCGCCGCTAGCGCGGACGCCAGAGCGCGTAAAGTAGACAAAGGGAGGGAGGCCAGACCAGGCAATAGACGGCCGGCATCCAGCGCCAGGTCTAGGATAATCTCAAAAGGCAAGCAACAGGCCGAACAAGAAGGGGAGAGTGTGCAAGCCCGGGCCGCCAATCACACAGGCTGGGCATGTTTGCAGCAGAGTCGCCGAAGCCTGTGACAGTACTGAACCGTGAAGGAATCCTGCACCCCTTCCTAGGCAAGAGGGAGTACCCTCGTGGGACAAGAGCGAAACCGTAAAACCCGAGCGGGCAGAGACAGACGGACTGACACCGACCGCCCTTCGGTCCTCACGGTTGACGTCACTCACTACAGTGACCCGCAAGCACCTCAGGTAGCTAACGGTTTGAGCCAGACGAAGTCGTAAAGAGCCTAGAACAGCCAAGAACCAGAAGAGGAACGGCCGGCACACCGGCAACGCAGGACAAGACTCCAAAAGGCAAGAACCAGAAACCTGAACACCCAAGAAATGCAAACCCTCCCGCAGCCCTCAGAAGCTCAAGGAAGCAATCGAAAGCAGCTTGGCAGCAGGCAGAGCAATGAGGCACGAACGGCCAAACCATGGGACTGTCGCACTAGCAGCTGCTGCGGGCAGAGGAGGGGGTGCTCATCGGGAGGAACCTCCCTTAGTCCCGTCCCCCAGCTCCGGCACTCCCCACAGCAACAGGCACGCTAGGCCCGGGGGAGGGCCCCAATTTCACTGTTCAGCTACGATCGTAACTGAACAGTTAAAAGCCCCAATCTAACTGTTCAGCTACGACCCCGGAATAGTGAAAATGCTAGAGCTTTCCCACAAAACAACAATTCTGGGGTCGTAGCTGAACAGTTAAATTGGGGGCCTTAACTGTTCAGCTACGATCGTAGCTGAACAGTTAAAGGCCCCAATCTAACTGTTCAGCTACGACCCCAACCAGGCCGGGTTGGGGTCGTAGCTGAACAGTTAAATTGGGGCCCTTAACTGTTCAGCTACGACCCCAACCAAGCCGGGTTGGGGTCGTAGCTGAACAAGAAATTGGGGCCCTTAACTGTTCAGCTACAACCCCAACAGGGCCCGGTTGGGGCACTTAACTGGGGCCTTTAACTGCTCAGCTACGACCCCAACAAGGCCCGGTTGGGTTCGTAGCTGAACAGTTAAGGTTCGATACCCTTGAAATAAGTGTGACAACCCCAGAAGTAAGTGTTCAATATCCCCAGAAATAAGTGTTCAATATCCCAAGATTAAGTGTTCATTATCCCAGAAATACGTGTTCAATATCCCATGAAATAAGTGTTCAAGTATATAGTATTCTATCCGACTCTTTCCTTGTAAAGAGATCCCTCGATTTGCTGTTAGAGGCAGCGTCTAATATATAGGTACTGATATTATACGTGTGTATACATATATATATATATATATATATATATACATATATATATATATATAGAATGTATACCAAACACAGGCAGGCCTTGGTTTCGAACTAGGCCTTACTTGACCGAAAACTACTTGTCTGCCATGAACCCCTATTTCAATCAAGGCTTTAGGTCTGGACTTCGAGCTATGACCCTTGCAATTATTGTTGAGCTGCCTGAGCTGCCAGGGTTCAAACTTGGTTGGAGCTTTGGTTAAAGGTTGAAGGGCTAGGCTAGGCGCTTTTCTCTGAATGACCCGCGCCTCCGCTACGGACTCGGTGGAGAGAAGCTGAAAGAGGATGAACTCCGTCTGACGCAGGTGACGCTTGGCTTGAGGGATTCTTACAAAAAAGCTCAGGCTCTGGGCCTCAGGGCATTTCCCAGTTCTCCTCGGCCCCCAAATCTGAAACTCCACCCTCTCTCTGTGGCTCTACCGAGGCAAATGACATAAGTCCTCAAGATCAAGCTCGAGTTCCAGACGCAGCCCGAAGTCTCAAGTCTTGTGGTGGCAGAGTGGTAGAGTGGTAGAGGTAGTGGTCGGGAGGTAGTGCTAGTGCTAGTACTGGCTGGGGCCTGCAGAGCCCGGTGCTCGGATTGCATTTCCTGGTACCTCGGTGCACTCTCGGTCGAGGCTCCTGTAGATTTGGGGGTTCTCGGGCTCCTACTTCTTCAAACCTGTGGGTTTTGTTCTTCCGTGCTTTTGGGGGCTTCCAGAACCTCTGAGCCAATGCTCCATTGGCCGGACGCGGCTAGGATCCGGGGCGACTGCTTTTCGGCTTCCTCCTTCTGCTGGGCCATCCTCTTCTTCTCGTGCTGCGCGTCTCGCTTCCTTCGGCCAGAATGAGGGAGCGACTTGGGGTCTTTGGGATTTAGGCATGAGAATACTCAAAAGAGGCATGCCAGAAAAGCATCCATCATGTACCACGTCGCGAGTGGTGTCTCATCCAGCTTCTCAAGTACAGCATGCTGAAGAAACGACCCGCACCAAATTGCGGGTAACGTCCCACCAATCACCAATCCCAAACACAGCCTCAAGGGCAAGACTTGACACAGGTTTGTGAAGGACGGACACGATGAGAGGCGAGCCATGAGCTTTTGCCAGACTCTCCCCGGACCGGGCCAAACTCCGAAACCCATTCGTGTGAAAGCTCATCACAAAATCAATGCCTGCAGTCTAAACATCGAGTGCCGCAAGCCCTGCAATCCTGGAACCGCTCCAGCTGAATGCCCTCAGACCTCACGTGCGTAACGTCCTGGTGTAGAGGTCGCGGGCTTTATCTTCTCGCGCAGCCTCCGGAGTGCAAGCTAAGGCTGGGAAGTCGTCTGAGTCTGGCCTTGCGGAACTTTAAACATGTTAGGGATAAGCAGCCCGGTTCGACATCTTCGAAGATCTACCGCGCATCCTGACGCCGCATGTCGACTGTTAGATCTTTGCAGAACCCCTGTCAGGAATCATACTGTGGTATCTTCGGTTTCCACGCTGGTGCTGCTCCCATCATCTGTCATACCCGTTTAATAGCTATAAAAAACTATTTTGGGCTCTCTCTGCATACATGTGTGAAGTATGCGTTACTGATGTCTTGCTGGTGTCCAGGGCTCATGTCAGAATGCGAAAAGCCGCGCACCTTCTCCGAGGCCAGTTTTTCGTACTCTCCGCTGAGAGCCATAGAACCAGAAACCTGGCCCGGTCATCGAACTGTGCTTCGAATCGCTTCAGGGGCCCTCTTATGTCCGGCACGAGGCGAGGCCGCCTTGAGCAGGGTGTCACGGCTTCCCGGCCTGCTCGAAGAAAGCCGTGAGATCTTTGCCCTGGCGATGCGCTGCAGCCTCGATGTCCTCGGAGTTTCAATCAGCAAAGCAACACACAATGGCTTGGGACGCTGACTGATGGCTTGCATGCTTGTGGCTCTCGCAGTGAGCGGATCCAAAAGAGTGCGATTCTGCTAATGCTTCTGCGCTCTACCAGTGGCTTGTAATAAGACCCTGAGGTCTCTGCCCCCTGGAAGACAAGGAAGTTCCTTGCCTTGGACAGGATGTTGATCTCCTGTAGGCTTGGCCATGACGGACTCAAAACCACTTGAGTGACGTGCTTTACGTTGCTCTCCTCGAGCATGTGCTCTACATTAGGTCTCCCCTCCTCGAGGCTCGCGAGGTACGCTTCCTGGGACACCGCCTCGCAACGCGGCTGCAAACACCAGTCGCCTACATACTGTGCCAAGTACAGGTGGTCCCAACGGCGAGCGTTCGGCTCCGAGCTTGCAAGGCACATGACTTTCACGAAACTCGCCTTGCCTGCCCATCAATCTGGTAGCGTGCCTGCACTGCAAGGCGTGGCATTGAGACTTTCGGCTAAAATCATCAGCATACAATCCAACCGTGAGTGCCGGGAGACCATGATCCAATCTCGACTCAGGCCCTTCACAGCCCTGCATGCCGAAATACAGACTGGTATCTGTTCAAAGCAAAGGCCTCGGTGCTGGGTTGTATGACCTTGAGCAGGTGCAGCTGTCATGCTGCCAAGGTTCATGCAGGCTCTCTTAGGATCCCCGCCCGCCGAAACATCTTCGTCTCGGGGCAGCCTGAAACGCAGGTCTCAAACGCAGCCTTCGCAACTTGGCTTTCGATCCTTTCGTCGCACCGGGACGGCACAAGCCCCTCAACCTGTCATGCTCGATGGGTTCTCGCCTTCCTGAGGGGCATCGAATCTGTAGACCTGCCAGAGTCGACAGCGAAGCCGGGCTGTACAAATCCAAAAGAGAAGCACCGCACTACTGCTACTTCTACTACTCCTGCTGCCGATGGGGCTCGTTCTACTCCTACTGCTACTGCTACTGCTACTGCTACTGCTACTGCTACTGCTACTGCTACTGCTACTGCTACTGCTGCTACTACCACCACTTCTATTATTACTACTACTACTACTACTACTACTACTACGACTAC